TAACGTGTATTGAGAAGCTCAAGATAATAATCCTTGGCTCACCAATCCCGTGACCGACCCTTGCGAAAGTTGCTTAACAACAACGGCCACGAGTGGCGGCGCTTATCCACTACGCTACCGAGCTACTCGCATACATTAGCATATTTGCATACATTACTCGCGTAAAATATAACCTATAATATATTTCTAATTGTTCCGTATTATTCATTAGCTGTAATATTACAAATTAGCACAAAGCATTCGTCTTAATTTATTATAATTTTGTTTCTATAATGCAATGCTTAGGCTCACAAGCCCTAAACAAAACACACCACCACGCAAAACGAAACGTATGTCTTTACGTTGTAAGTGCTGCCACCTATACACTCACAGAGAGAAGTTCGCCGATAGCCGCTCGCACAGCTGGCATATTATAAAATTTAATAATAATCCGTTTCATAAAACCTAGCTTAATTCGCGACAAGTGTTTGTTGATGAAAGCTTCCAGCGACCTAATTATTTATCGAAGCACTTACTGCGCTACTTACTGGGGCCCCGTATCAAGATACAAGAAAGGCGGTGTTCTTGGTAAGTGAGCCGATCGCATTGCTTAACTGACTTTCTTACACATTAATGTATATTTGTTTATTTTGATTTTAAACATAAACAAATGGAGAAAATTGTCAGGTCTACATAGCCTGCAGTGCCGTTGACTATACGACTATGCTTCTCGTAGATATCATAAAATGTCCAACGTTGCACAATGGTACCAATTTTTCCAACATATTATATAAATCCTTTTTACATTTTGAAATCTTATTCGCATCTACGAATGACAATGTCTGGCTCGAGATTATATAAGTCAGATTAAGAACATATTTTCATATTTTCAAAAAGGGACTACGTATATCGTTACATAATTTTTTCTTTATTTTATCGGAAAGATGGAATATCGTTAAATTAGATGTTCTATATAGATATACATTTGAAAATAGGTAAAATACTTTCTAAAGAGTTCGGATAGTTGGAAAAGTAGGAGCATTGTTGAACTAACCAGTAAAGTTAGTAAACTTCCATTGTTGGAATATTTTCTGAAGTTCTTCTTGAGGCTATATGATGGTAAAAGGTGAGGGCAAGCAATAAAAGGAAATTATTAGTATTTGTATATGCTATATGAGTGTGACGCCTAATTTATTTGAAAAGGAAACGTAACTATCTATACTTAAATTATAAAGAAGCGAATTTTCTAACTTTATTTGCAAGGGTAATCTTCAGAAACATTGATGCGATCATGAACATTCTTTTACCTATTGAAAGCTACATAATGCACGCATCATTGCGGGTGACAGGTTATAATTACGCGGGAAAAGTTGCGGTAAAAGCAGCTAGTAAGGTAAACCTTCAACATAAGGTATAGAATAGGTTTAGGTTTTTATTACAATTATAAAAAAAAAACAAAATCTACTTTGTTTATACCTTACCTCGATGACGTAGTGCAGAGGTTCCCAAAAAATTTTTCTCGGTGACCATTTTTAAAAATTTACTCATTTCGGTGGACCTCCTGCTGCTAATTTTTACCATATTCCCAAAATTCTAACGATGGAAATTGACGGCCTATTTTTATTTCACGCCAACGTAAACCCCCGTTGGATCCCTCGTGGACCCCTGGGGGTCCACCTGGACTACTTATGGAATCATTGGCATAGTGGATAATGTTAAGGTATTTTGTCAAAGGTCGGTCACGGAATGGGTCATAAGGCACAGTTCGTCTTGATGGGTCTAACGAATGCCTATGCAGAATGCACGATGTGCAGGTTTTGATCATTCTTACTATGACAATCAAAATACGAATTTTTAACTAAAGTAAATTATTTTGTTTGTAATCCACCATTTATTTCGTCCTTGGTTTTTGTCATTGGTCTTATATGTTAATCCAAATCCAAAGAAAAGGGTCTTTTTTTTGTTTAACATTAATTAAATCAAGTTCTCAAGTTTAGTCAGATTTTAATTCATTTGCCCAAGCATCGAACCTGTCACATGTCTATTTGTATGATAATCGTTATCTGATTTTGTTATTAATTACATATTGATTGCCATAAAAATACTACATAACTACTTTTAAGATGATAAACGAGCCACTTGCACAAACGTTATTAATTTAAAGTGACATTACCCTACAAATTTAACATTCATTAGAGCTTAAAGACGTCATTAAACCTTAATAGACGCTTGTGCAACTGACTGAAAGGGTTTTACTTCAAGACTTTTTAGAACCAGTTGCACGTCCATCTTCATTAAATTAAGGGGGATATTTTGTCAGTTGCATAAACGTCCATTATTAAGGTTTAATGACCCTTTCAAACTCAAGTGAATTTTCTAAACTCGAAAATTAATGAGAATTTTTATTGACTTTTGTACAACGGGCAGATTACCGATACAGATTTACAAATTAAGAACTTAAACCTTAACAAACCTTTGTGCAGAGTGCTTTTTGCAGATAATCTTAGTTGTAATAAGCATAGAATTAATAAGTACTCTACGTACAACTGGAATTCTTACTGCGATCTTTTTGACATATCAAAATGAACCTTAATTATATGTAAATATAGTGTTTTTTTAAATAACCATTATGTACATCGAGAAGTGAGCTCAAGTGAGACATCTTTTTTCTTGGTGTGTCTCTGTCGCACAATTGCTATGTGAAATATTTTTGACATAAAGGTAGTAAATTCAAGAAAACTGTTTACACACAACCAACCGTTTTCTATATGAATATTATATTTGGCTTGTTTGTAAGTTTACTAATAACATAAATGCAATAGCTTTTGGGTCCAGATTAATCAAAGTTTTTATATTTCACGACATTACAATATTATAGGCATGTTTTATTACCTTTACGTTATGCAATACTAGGTAAAATTAAAGTATTCACGTGGCACTACAAAAACAATATGACGTTTTCTTTTTTGACATATGGACTTGTTTTTAATGCTCTCTGAATTAAAAAAGTGTTTTAAATAGTATATCGGATTGAAAAATGGTAAACAATATATGTGCTGTGAGTGGGTGTGGGAAAGAATCGTATCCCGGCTGTGGATTGTCTTTTCACAGGTTTTGTTATCAGTAAACTAGGGTGACTATACTTTACGTATAGAGATGTTAAGTACGTACGTACTATAAGTATAGACCCTATTATTGTCTAATTGTGTACTAAATTTAAACTTGTTGTATCACTAAACACTTTGGTTATTCACTGCTTTGCTCATAAAGCGTTATTTTTTTTAATCCATTGACCGAAAATGATCACCGAAAGTGAGTCTTTAAACACAAAAATGTACCGAAATCCTTTACTGCACACGTGCTTAAAAGTATTTTTTTTTTATTTTGTTTTGGCCGAGCAACAAAGAAATTTAAAAAAAAATATGAATATATGTCAAACTTTAGAGGCAAAAGTATTTCAAGGAGCCTAGAACGAATATTTTCAAATAAAAATGTAAGACACGAAAACATGTTCAAATATCACGTTTCATTTTAACAAATTATTTTTACCTTTAATTAACCTATATATTTACATTATTTCCTCGCAAAAAGCATTGAAAAATGTTGTAAGAAACTTGAGCGTAAAAGGTTTTTCGAATTCATGCCAATGAAAACCAATTTGGCCCTTATTCGTAAAACCTTACTTTCCGCACTCGTATCTTAAATAACTATTATTGGTCAGTAGGCTTATCATCTGATCGATCTTTTGCAAATATCTATCTACACACCAAACCAAACCAAATTATTGCTATAATAAAAAAATTATACATTTTAATTACATTTACATTTACAGTTTGCCTTCGGATTTAGAATTAAAGAAAAAATGGTTAGAGGTGATACCTGGGAACTTACATAAAAGCTCTGTGGTTTGTACACTTCATTTCAAACCGGAAGATTACCGAACAGAGGCTCGAAAAAGGCTGAAACCTGGAGTGATTCCTTCAATCTTGCCAAAGGTACCTACCTAATATTAAAGCACTCATTTATAAATAACATTATATCGAAAATAATAAATTAAAACAGCAATTCGTGTTATAACTTATTTTTATGTACCTACCTACTTTTATTACAGATTTTTCCTGATAGCACAAAAGTTAATGTGTTAAAAGTTATACGCCTGACTACATTAGAAAACGAAGAAACTGAACCTTCTAAAAGTCCTTCATGTAAGAAGATAAAACTTGATGTTCATACACAGACATCAACATTGCCTGCTTCACCAAGGAAAATAAAATTGAAGCGTGAGGTGAAAAATCTAAAGCAGAAAATCAAAAGAAGAGACATGAAGATTAATAATTTAAAATCACTTTTATCAGTTTTAAAAAAAAAAATGTAAAAATTATGAAGAGGTACAATCTGTCATAACAAACTGTTTCCCGAATATCCATCAGCAATTGAACAAAAATAAATCCAGCAAGGGCATGAGATTTAGTGGTGACATAAAATCTTTTGCTCTGACATTATATTTTTATTCGGCAAGGGCATATCGCCATTTGAGAAATTTTGTTAGCATTCCGCATCCTTCTACTCTTAGAAGACTTTTAGCTTCACATAGTTGTAATGTGGGGTTCATATTTGAAGTTTTGAATTACCTTAAAATTGCTGCAAAAGAAAACGTCCACCTGCAGAATGTTGCACTAGTTTTTGATGCAATGTCAATTAGATCTGCATTAAAGTATGACCAAAGAAGTGATAAATATTGGGGTTATGTGGATTATGGTGGCATATTGGTCAATGATTCGGAGACCTTGGCAACGGAAGTTTTGATTTTTCAAATTGTGTCATTTACTACAAAATTTAAATGCCCAATTGCTTATTTTTTGATAAATAAAATATCTGCCCATATTCAGTCTGAATTACTTCTTGCTGCCATCAGATATTTAGGAGATATAAATATTAACGTCAGATCTTTAACCTGTGATGGAACTATAACTAATTTAAAATCATATGAATTATTGGGTTATGATTTTTCATTAAAAAATATGAAAACGCATTTTAAACATCCTCAAAATGATTCTAAAGTGCACTGTCTATTGGACCCACCACACATGATTAAGCTTTCGCGGAATGTGTTCGCCGAAACAAAAATGAGTTCTGAAAAAGGAGAAATTAATTTTGAATTTGTTAAAAAATTACATAATCTCCAGGATCAAGAAGGTTTAAGGTTAGCCAATAAGTTATCTAGTATCCATGTTAATTTTGGTGGTAAAAAAATGAATGTTAGGCTTACCACCCAAGTTTTAAGTTCATCGGTGGCAGATTCAATTGATTTTTTAAGATGCAGTGGCAATTTAAACTTTGCAGATAGTGAGGCGACAGTTGAATACATCAGAATATTAGATCGGATATTTGATATGTTTAATTGCAAACAACCTTTTGGTAAAGGATTTAAATCTCCTATGCGTCTAGAGAATATGGATGTGTGGACGAGTATTTTTAATGAGACAAGAGAATATCTTTGCAAACTTAAAGTTAATGGTAGCCCAATGTTGCAGCATCGTCGCAAGATACCATGTCTCGGTTTAATAATCGATACATTTAGTTTTTCTCAATTTGCGTTAGATTTGCTTCAAAAAGGGATAGTGAAATATTTCCTTACGTACAAATGCTCTCAAGACCATTTAGAAATGTTCTTTTCTTGTTTGAGGGTTGCTGGTGGGCATAATGATAACCCGAGTGCTTTGCAAGTCAAGTATGCCATAAGAAAACTACTGTTCCGTAACAGCGTCACTCCTAGTGTAAACGCCAATTCATTTGACGCAGATTTTCAAACGTCACCAGTTTTAGAATTTAAATCGAATAAACATGAATGCAATTCAGTATTTACAACAGAGACAAACGAGGAACAACAAATTGAATGGCTCCTTAATACCGTTAATGGACGAAATCTGTCTGAATACAAAAATAATATTTTATATTATATATCAGGTTTCATTGTAAAAAAGTTTTTAGAGAAAAGCAACTGTGAACATTGCAACGCGGCGCTGGTAAGCAATGAAAATGAAGTCAGTAAAGAGCACAGCTATACCATTGATTTAAATAATTATTCAGCTTTTACCATGTTTATAGATAGAGGTGGTTTGAAATATGCATCAAAATTCGTTTTTCTTATTGTTCAATATACGGAAAAAGTGTTCATAACATTGGCAAAAGATTCTCTATTGAAAACTAACAGGCATAAAATATTGATTCTAATCCAGCAGCAGTTTTTGGATAAATTAGATTTCCTGATTGTTCCGCCACATCCAGTGAATTCTTTCAATTGTGAAACCAGACACGAAATTATTCTTTTAAAGTTCATTGCTAACAAATATCTCATAATAGAATGTCAACTTATGGCAAAGATCTCACATTCAAGGCCATTGGCACATCTCGCGCTACTTTACGCCATAAATTGCACAAAACAATTTTGTTCAGTAATGTTTAATTTTCAAATGTCAACAATACAGTCATAATAAAATATACTATTTTGATTGCGTTTTATTATTAGGGGGGGGAAGGTCTGCCTATGAAATTGCTAATTTCCATAGATTCAAAATTTATTATTGTTGAGTTGAGATTAAATAAGAATTTTTTCTGCTTCATATTAATATTATTCAATTTCAATAATCAATATTTTCTTTTAATGTCCAATGTATTCAGGTAAGAATGGTTACACTACTTAGAAAGGGACAAACCAAGATTTATGACCTCTCACTCGGCGCATGTTTAGACGCACAGTAAGCATTCTAGTTGTACGTAGTACTTATTAATTCTATGGTAATAAGATATATAGTTTTTTTTTATCAAATAGTTTTCTTAATTCAATTTCGATTATACTCTTTCCATAATAACAATCTAGCCTTTTTTAATGAAAACCTTAAATGTAAAGTTATTCATGGTTAATAAAAAGAAAACTGTACAGCTTAGTTTTCATTTAGTTTAAATATTCCATCATTTTATTTTACAATAGTATAATTTTATTGCAATCAATTTGTCTTTTACGAAGTTATATCGATACTTATTCGTTTGATTGAAAATCGAGAGTGTACAAAGACTCAAAAGAAGTTATTAATCTGGATAAAAGCGCTTCTTAAGATATTGTACCTTTTGTCAAAAAGAAAAGTAACGATGCTTAAAATGTACTAAATGTTTATAGGAAATTCTAAAATGACAGATAAGATTTTTTTGCCCAGATTAAAAGGATCGGAAAGCTAATTGATTACTTCGAAAGAAATGTCAAAGGTGCCAGTTCTGATTCTCGTTAGAAAATCAAGTTTGTCTTTGGTGTTGTCTACCATTTGTATGATATCTGATGTGGGATTTACACTTTACTGATGTGGGACTACGTACTTCATTTGGAATCTAAACAATGAAAGCTCCAATACTACTGGACGTATTTGAAACATTATAAAACAGAAGGCCTGATACCTAAGTGAACTTCCTTGACATGAGTCTTACACAAGTTTCATTCCTTCATTTTGTTTTTTATTTTATTTTCCAAGTATTTAAATTACTGTTTAATAAGTTCATTTGCTTTTTAAGTAACACAAAGACTTCTATATACTAGCCTTTAACGATCGCAGGCCTACGCTGTATCTCAGAAAAAACGAGTCCATAAAATTATTCTTAAAAATAATGCAACAGAGGTAGGGGTAGACTATAATTTCAACAAAATTATAAGAACGTTTCGAAATTATACGTAGTTAGTTGAAAAACAGTGAGGCCCCTCTGTTCGGAATCATCAAAGCGTGAGGGATAGGTGTGCAGACCCGATGTGAAGAATTTCTGCTAAAAAGAAAGCGAGATGGCGATACGAAATGGTCATTTCCAACCTAATACAGCTTGTTTAGAAATGAAGTATGTAGAAGGACTTTGGGGAAATTTTCCTCTTCTATCGAGTTTTTAAATATTCTATTTGTTCAGTCAGTAAATTAGTGAAATATATATATTTTTCTTTGAATTTTTGTTAATTTATTAGAATGAAAAATGTCAGTTTAAAACTCTGTTATAAGTATTTAAAGGCGAATGCGGACGCATACAACACCGATCGTTTATCTGAAATTATCATTCTTATGTTTGCTTTTATATCATTAACTTGTATCATAAGCTATCAACGTCATTAGGAAGTATTCCAATCTTCTTTCTTTTGTTCTTGGGTCTACGTAATTTCATCTGTGGATAATCTTCCCTGAGATAGCGTCTTTTATAACCACTTGAATTTAAAAACAGATATCCATTTTGTTATTTTAACAACACACCAGTTTAAACAAATGCAAAAAATGAGCTTTTCAAAATTATCAAAATAGATTTACAATACAAAAATAATTTGAAGTCTCTTATATTGCGAAAATCCTTAGACAGCCATTTAGATAGATGATCTTCCATGTTCTTTATATTTCAAAATTATCTAATTTCTAAATAAAATGTAACAAGAATATCATTTAGAATATTTATTTGGCTAATACTAAAGTGGTTTGCGTGGAAAAAATCTGTACTTAAAAAAATGTATTCTATTTCTCCGAAACCAAAATATCGTATATTTTCGAAATACTAATATGGCTCTAAAGAAAAGCATTATTCGATATTTTTGATGTAACGGAAATGGTACCTGAAACTTGCTCTTAGACAGATAATCTGCAAGGATATAATTTTAACAAAATTTTAAGAACGATTCAGAGTTTTCTGGGTTTTCGTTCGAGGGCAAATATAATAGCCCTCAGATGTCATGTTAATTCGCACGAGTTTCCTCCTGACCCTGAGGGTTTGAGCTCTCACAACTTTCTCATTACTTTTATACACATTCTTTTGTTATCCTGGTTATATCACAAATGTAACTAATTAAGACATAAATCTGAAAAGACTGAATGCCGAAAAAGCTAAAGAAAGTCAGCTCATCGTTATTACCTAATATAAAATAAAGTAGCTACCCGCAGTCTGTACACATTGAAATCTTTTTAACTACGCAACGGATTTGTAACAACTAAATAATATATGAAGGTCAATTTTAATAATATCCTATAATAACTAAAAGACATTCAGAAGGTGACAAGCAAAAATTAAATCCATAAAGACCATGATAGAAAAGATTTTGAAAGAGATTGAAGAAAGGCTACACCAAACTGATTAAATAGGGCTCATGAAGATTACCGATTTTTAGTACAGTTTGTGGGATCAGCCGAAATCTATACTAATATTGTAAAGAGGAAAAATCCGAAACTATTGGACCTATTTTTATAACCGCAAGGAAGTTACATCATACACTGGAAACAAAACTATTAAGTAACGGAAAAACAGCTAGTATTTTTATATACAGAAAAAATTTGATGTCAGCGCGTGAAGTTTTTTATTTTGTTCGTTACGGTAAACCATATTTACGTATTTTTCTCTCTTTTTCTAACCAACTAACATTGTAGATAAAACAAGTACGTTACTACTTACCATATGCTTACTGTACACTGACGTTGATTACCCTTTTTTGTGAAAACAACTAATAACAAGTTTGTTCATTCATTCATTGATTGGGTATTCTTTAAATAAACATGAAAATGTTAATAATAATAAAACAAGCAACAATTATCGATTTTGTTATTTAATATGAAATAATAAAAAATACTTAAATTGTGTTCTATCCATGATACTAAACTACAGGAAGAAGATTGTGCACCGATCACAATTTTTTCCTTTATATTTTTTGCTAATACACAGTCAACATCACGTCAGGTTATACAAATCTGTAAAATTTCTCAGATAGAAATTTCTAGATTAAAAAAAATGTTCCGTGGGTAACGTTTAAAATCAATTGGAGTTTGACAATTTGGCAAATTGTGTCGTGAAGCCGTGTACACATGACAGTACTAATTTCGACAATCATAAATCTTAAGCATATATAAGCAAGAGCATCTATCGCACTTAAGAACTGCGCCTTAGGTAATAAATAATTTTTATTTTGCGAAAGATGAATTGGCTCATAAAAATTTAATTGCGCTTACTCTATCGCGAATGAAGGGATGTTGACCCGATGTGTTTGACGCCGTAACCCATATAACTCAATGAGGTTGGAACATATCTCATAAAATGACAGTGACTGCAAATAAAGAAGGTCATTTGTTATTAATATTATGGTCCGAACGAATTAAACAGGGATCCTTATTTTATTGGGTCATAAACAAATATTTTGTATAATTTTATTTTTACTTTAAGCTATTAAATGTAATGTTTTATGATGATAAAAGAAGAGTAAAAACTACAAGTTAAGCCTACAAATAAACCTTTTAAAAGATACGGGGATTATTATTCCCACCAAAAACGTTATCTTGTAAAAGTTGTTAGATCTCGTATAGAATATTCTGATTCTACAGACACTAACTCACAAGCACATACTTCTCGAAGTCCACATCTTAATCAACTCATGTAGCTCGGCCGTTTCGATAACATAAAAACATTTGTGGCGTAAGATGAAAATTTTATTTATCGTTCATTACTTTTCTGTTATCGTTTCATTTCCGTATTTCTTGTGGAACCGAAACGGCCAAGTTACACGTTGTGACTGTTTATGGTCCCGGATAAGTCAGCCTCTCGATCATATAAAGTAACAAATTTACTTTGTATGATCGAGAGACTGAGCTTTGTCTTTTAATTTTTTAACGTTCATTATGTATTCCACACGCCAAAGCTCGCAAAGTTCAGGTTTGGGTTCAGGTTTCAAGGTTAAATAAAATTGGAGTGTCTGTTTGTATTATTAACATAACCGCTTTTCATTAAATTCACATGGTATATACACAAAAATAACTTTTTTTTGTAACTGTTTGTCTGTTGGTTCCGGTTCTGATAAGGGGTAACTTAGGCTACTCTTCACGCAGACGAAGTAACGGGCAGAGCTTGTTATTTTATAATAATTATGAAACATACATTCTGTATTGTTAAAACATTGTAGTTATTGTTAAATAAAGAAACTTGGCTTACTTCACGGTTCATAAGTTTTGAGACGAAATAAAAGTTGCGTAACTTTTTAAATAATTAACTAATATTTCTGAAATTTTCAGTAACCATTAAATAGATAATAAATAACAATAAAATATGTATTTTATTCAAAATGACCGCCCTTGTTTTTAATACAGGCCCTTAGACGATTTAGCCAGTCATCAATGGCGACACGAAACTTTTCCAGCGGAATTCGCTTTGTTTCTCGACCAAGTGGTTCCCTTCAGTGAATCCAAGTTTGGGTAGGAGTTTCAGCAGGCCCTTAGCTCTAATTCAGTCCATAAACAATAATCCAGCAGATTGAGATCGGGGCTGGAAGAGGGCCACCTTTCCGCCGCGATGAAGGCCGGCACATTCTCTCTCAACCAAGCTTGGGTTTTTGCCCTATGGCATGGCACCGAGTCTTGCTGAAAAACCCAATCCTTATTGTGAAATAACGTATCAGAGAGGGTTGTTACACGTTGTGACTGTTTATGGTCCCAGAGAGGGGGTCATCAGAGAGGGGGTTTCATCACGGGCTCTTAAATGTCACTCTGATAATTCTTGACACCTTGTTGGCAGAAATGGAGCGGAGTAACTCCCCACCATACCATCACACTAGCCAGATGGTGAGTGCGCGGACATTCCGTACAAAAGCTAGGATATCCTTACCACTTTTTGCGTGCACTTTATTGTTTTGTCGGTTGAATTTTTTCTCGTCGGTGAGAGTATCTTCCTAGCACAATGTCTTCGTAAGTTACGACGCGGACGTTGTCCATTGCTGCTGGGCAATACGTCGTATGTTCAGTCAAACAGTTTCTAACGATGCCTCTTGTAGGAGCTAATCAGGTGTTGAATGTTAGTGTTTGTTAAGTTTGTGTATTTAGTA